TTTTTTTGTGTGTGTTTGGTGATTCTCCTACTAGAGTGAGGAGCTTATTCTCCTCTAGTAGGAGTTTATTCTCCTCCAGAGCTTTTGTCTCGATTTAGGAATTGTGTTGTTAGTGTTGTCATGTGGGTGTGTTTGGGTAGTCTTCGAGGCTCCGAATCCGGGGTCCTCCCGCTAGATTCAGGTAGATTGCTGCTTGGTATTATGGTTGTATTCTAGTTGTACTTATGTGTTTTTTTATAAACTCTATCGTTCGACAAAAAAAAAAGTACTTGGATTATTAATTTATTAGTACTAAGTTATTTTATCAGTATTAAGTTATTAATTATTAGTATTAAATTATTAATCATTAGTATTATGTATTATTTTTTTAATTACTTATCGGTCCGGTTCGATAAAAAATCAAACTTTTATAATTTCGGAGCTGATACCGAACCGATATCGGTCACCGTTTTAAAGAGTCGGTACAATTCAGGTTTTTTTTTCTTGTCCGTTCGGTTCAGTTCGATTCAGTTTTTTATTTTCGGTCAAAATATGTCAGTCCTAGAACATGAATTATTATATATTAGTAAGAGTGGAAATCGTAGAATATTATGAAGATAAATTAGAAAACAAACAAAAAACGAAAAAATGGACTGAGAAAGCGAGAGAGTCAACCGACGTAGAGTGGGTAGACTAGAAAATAATGGCTGACAGCATCCTTTCTTCTTCTCCAACCTTCAATCTCCATAACTACAGAGACAACTCGAGATTAAAATACACAGATTTGATCATTCTTGCTCTGCTCAAGTTCATATCAAACAAGCTCGCCAATTTTGCAGAGATCACAAATTTCATTGTTCCCCCTTTTCGAGGCAAGTTTCCATCTTTTTTTAATCTTCTTTTTCTTTTAGTTTTAATGAGTTGTTTGCATTTTTATATGTTATCTGTAAATTGGCTTCGACTGTACCTTGTTTTATGTTCTATTCTGCGTTTTTATGCGTTTTCTTGGAGGGTTTTGCTTGAGGTTCTTCCATTGGTTGGTGGCTTGAATTGGGTTTCCATTGAGGATAAAATTGATGGGTTTTCTGTGTGGGTTTTGCAATTTTGATTTTGTGGTGAAGTTTTGGTGGGCTGTGTTAATTGGAAAATGATTGTAGGAGTTTATTATGAATCATATTCTACAAATTTGGTTGAATTTGGACGTGTTAAGAACAGATTTTGGGCTAAGTTTTGAACTAATTCAGTTACAGTATGTGAATCTGAACTGAGAGGATTGTGAGTTTTGTTTCAACTTTTCATCTACTTGCTGAAATTTTCGCTTTTCGTCATGCTGAAGCTGAACCGCTGAACGTTGATGAAAGGATTGACAGATGTGTTTTGATTCGGTTAAGGTACTCAGAGGAGGCCGTTGACGGGAGGACCAGAATTTTATTATTCGCCTTCAGAGGAATGTCCATGGATCAGAGTAATATATAACTTTGCTTTTTTATCTCTTGGTTTCAAGTATATTTTCACTATCTGTGATGTGCCGTCTTCTCATTTAGCTGATATACGATATTGTCAGATCATACCGCAATGCGTTCTCTTTCATTTGTATTATTATTATTTTTTTTTTGAAAATTGTTGATTTTTGGTAAGCATAGAAAATCAAAAGGGCAACTTTCTTCCCGCATCCACACTGCAATTGTTTGTATCTTTGGCACACAAAGTTACAGAGAAAATTTGTTTAAGGCTTTAATCGATTCAGCTAGTTGTGTCATTTCACGTGTTACCGACATGCTATTGCAAACTTAGATAATTCAGTACTTTTAAATCCATGGTTTGGGACTTGAGCCAGCAAAACCTAGCAGTATTCTGGAACACTTCTTCAGATCTCTTTAGGGCATGCCATGATATGGCTTGAGTTGGGATAAAAGTAAATTTTGAGAACAAATAAATGACCTATTACTATATTATGGAACTTGTTGGTGTTACAGATGTTAATATTGAGGAAGGAGAGGGTAGAAATGCTCTTGAGATGGCCAGATCAGTTTCGGATAAGCATCTTGATCTTTTGAGGCCATCCGCCCGATATTATTCTACATTTAAAGGTAGTCATTTCGTTTGGTTTTCTTGTGATGCATAACTAAAAATGGGTTATGGAGTACTCTTTTTTAAATGACTTGCCGATGCACCTTCTCAAAGTAAACTACCAATCAACCACAAGTTTTCCGTGATTCTCTAAACATAGAATGGCCTTTATGCTGGCCCAATCCGATTTGTTCGTTTCACCTAATGCTTATCCAGTGTCTTTGCTCATTAATTTGTTCGTTTGGGTGTGTGTTTTTCTTTCTTTTATTTTTGCTGTGAATGCTTTTTGCTCTAGTATGTTGGTAAGGTGTGTATGTTTTTGTTGTCTCACATTGTCTGTATTGGTTGTTTTCTCCTCTTTCTTGTCCAATATTCTCAACATTTATTTTCGGTTGATTCATTAGATGTTAAACTTGCGTATCATATACTCCTTCCGTCACATGAAGATAGGCTTGTTTACTTTACACAATTTAATAGAGTATTAATACTTGCTACTGGGATAAAGCATTCAGGACTAATTTTCTAATATCCTTTTAAGTTAATAATTTGTATCTTTTATTATTCTACTCTGTTGATGGCCATAAAGGGAATTTTAACATTTTTGTGGGACAAACGAAAATAGTTTATCAAACCTATCTTCATGGTACGAAGGGATCAAAAAGAGGTTAACCTCAAAATTTCTAGTATATTTAGATTTCTCCATAATTCTAAAAGTTCTGTTTTCATAGGACAAGCAACAGATTCAACAGACCGGGAAAAAGGCAAGTATACACTGATTAGAGGCGAGGATGACACTCAACTGGGGTTATACGATAAGCCTCTTGCTTGCTTTGGCTGTGGAATCGGATGGTTCTCGTAAGTGTATATTATCCTCAGATAGGTTTATTTGTTACATTTTTTTTCCAATTCACCTCTTTGTCGTAATTTAAAATGTCATGTTATCCTTTCAGTTTCCTATTGGGTTTCTTGTGCCCCCTAATGTGGTATTATGCTACAATTTTGTACTTCGGGAATTACTATCGAAAGGATCCTAGGGAACGAGCTGGACTTGCTGCTTCTGCTATTGCTGTAAGCCTATAACTCGGTTTTTGTTTTTGTTTTTTTTTTTTTTTCTTAATTTATGCTAAGTTATACTCTAGAATTTATCTAAGATCTTGATTTGTACTTTGCAGGCCATGGGGTGCTCCGTCATATTGCTAATCGTAGTCTTGGTTCTGATTTTCTAGCCGACTTTCTAATATGTACCCCAATCGATGCTTACTAGAACCAGTGTGCAGCAATTGATATTCGGAATACATGTTGATATCAATTCTTGATTGATATAGTGAAAATGCGTCAAATTTTGTGAATCTGCTCTTTACATAATAAATTCAATGGACAAAAGCAATGTTCCATTTAGTTCTTTTTCTTCTCAAAAAGGTTGTGGAAATTTTGCTGAAATTTTTTGTTTTTGTTCTGCTTAAATTTATGTTGCAACATTTAAATCATCGCGACTAAATGGAAATGCAGGAGTAGATATCTCATATATCCTGTCTTACATCGAATTTGCAAACCGAAATACACTTTGCACTGCAAAGTTTCAAATGTAGATACACCCAATGGTGACCAATGTATCAAATGGATTGTGTCATGATGAAAACAAAACTTTCTGGTGAAATTCAAGAAACCGCTCCACAATGCACTAGGCACGGTTTTAGCTGGTGGCGGCTAAACGAACATATTTCCCATCGACAACAAATCTCGAGCTTGATTTTATCTGCCCAACATTTTTAATTGTGAGAAGAGATCATAACTATTAGAGAGTAGGCTAGACGAGGACTATACAATCTTGAAAACACAGAACAGATACAAATGCAACAAGTAACTTACCTTCTGCTCAATAAGTTCATATATTTGCCTTCTTTTTTCTGTATGCCCAGATTCCTTCAGAGATTTCATGACAATTTTCCCTAGTTTCTTAAATTTAATCGCACCACCATCTTCACTCTGCCAAATCCAAGAGAGAACATCACTATGTTAGTATGTTATACAATACACCAAAAAACACACACAAAATGACATAGGTAAATACTTCGGATTCCTGTAAAATAACAAAGTAATTATCTATTTTCATTCTCTCTTTACTCCTTATCCCCTAATCCATGCAGAGGATACACCTGAAAACGGTGCCCACGATCAAAGTCAGGGAAAAAAGATCAATTTACTATGATATATCTATAAGGAAGTATCGGTAATCCAAGTCCAGATCCTGAATTTCCAATTTTGTATAGATCAATTAATTCAACATAATCCAAAAACCACGAAAATATTTTATATACTAGAATTCGAGAACATACGGATTTCAAAGCTGCTGTAATCAGTTTTTTCCACTTTATAGTCTTCTTGGCAATGTCCTTCCCAGCACTGGAATGTGGTTCTCCATCTTCCTCTGTTGCACTTTGTTTGGCCTTTTTCGAGCCCTTTTCTTTTTCTGCTCCTCTAATTTGAGCATCACCGTTTTCAGATGCCTCGAGTTTTCTCTTCTTGTTCGACTCCAAAGAGTTATCCTCCAAACCAGAGCCATCAAGAGCAGCTTTAGGCAAGTTTTGATCTCTTTGTTCCACTGGCTCCTTATTTTCAAGAAATTCATCTTTTGCATTATTGTCATTGGAACTTTTGTTTTCTGCAGTGCCATCGGGCGGCTGTTTTGATGCATGGAATGCTCTTGCTTTTGCCCTGTGCTTTTTCCCGTCAGCATGGAGGAGCAGGGTTTGCTTACTTGTGGCCTTGGTGTTACATAGGCTGGATTAAAAAAAAAGGGTAAAATATTAAGACCCATGATAAATCGAAATGAGGTGGAATACGGAGACATTAGGACATGATAAATTACCATGCAGTACAAAAAATTCATACACCCCAAAATAGATTATGCACACTTCTCAAATCATAATGGTTAATGAAAATTCAGTAAATGACAATGGCTCAAACAAATAAAACCATGCTATACAACAGTGGAGCTTATTATCCAAACTCACAATGTGCTCAATGGTTGAGTACAAATTCATTCAGCAATGAGTATTCACAGCATGCTGTATCCTCTTTATTTTCTAAAGATATACCTTCCTAGGTCACTATTACAAGTCTTTTATGCAAAGCCAAAAATTGAGTTCTAATAATCAATTCTTTTACTTTGATCTGGTGGGAAGTCACAACATAATGAAAACAAAAATTCATCAGTCAGGACCAAATTACACGACACATTCATAAGCTGAACATTACCTGCAGAACCATGGAGGGCGTTCAGACAATCCGACATTTATGTCGACCTCTGGTTTTGGCTTTGCGTCATTCTTGGTCTTAGTGTTTGTTCCATTCACAGCTTTTGTTTGACCCTTTGGACCATATTTTTCCTGCATGCACAATGAGCAAAACCTTTTAAGACAGTAAATCAAATTCCAGTAGCAGTACCAATTCAGAGGCTTATTATAATCAAGCTAGGCGTACTGTTTTTTATTGGTGCTTGAACTCGACGGTCTGAACAATTTTAGGCTTTGCTCAAATCGACAAAAAAATCCGCTTGGCTCGAATTTTGCCGAGGTCGGCTTAGAATTCAATAAAAATGTCGAATTAGGGGTACTTTAGATGTATATTCCAGAGGATATGCTCAAAACTACATGTAACTTGACACGAGCTAGTTCAATCACAAGCTTGAGCTGAGAATTGACGCTGAGTGTTCGACGGCTGCTCAATACAGTTTGCAGCCCTAGATTACCGAATGACCCAGATGAAAACAAAAAATAAAAGAATTTATAACAGGAAACAAGTTTTACCGCTTCAGTGATGCACTGAGTGTGGCTTTCAACATCCTGCTGCCCAAATACTTGCCCACAATCGATGCACGACAACTAGAAATCAAAGTCAGCATCATCAGAGAAAAGTCATCAGCTACAGAACCAAAAGCAACTCAACAAAGGGACACTAAATTTAACGTTCTTTTTCTTGAAAAATGAACAAAAAGAGAGAGAGAGAGCCGTGGAATGTGGAAAACCTTGAAAGCAGAGCATTGTCTGAAATGATTGGCGAGCTTGGGTTTCTTAAGGTTGTCTCCACAGTCCTCGCACTGAAACCACACCATCGCTCCCCACCTCCACTGCGTCTGCGTGTGTGTTCTGCCAAGTTCTTGAGGGCCTTGCCTTTGAATTTTGGGGTTTTGTCTAGGGTTTAAAGGAAGTTGCAAAATTATAAACTAATGGTATATAAATCCAAACGGATCCCAGATAAAAGCGAAGCCCATTGGGATTAAGATCCCAAACTAAAATGGACCTTTTTTCAAACCGAAAAACCCGAATTCAAACATGCAGAGTAACTCTCACATAAAACAATAAAAACTTAAACTAATTTTGCAGTAACTCTCACATAAAACAATAAAAACTCATTCTCAAACTCAAAAGAATTTTTCATTCACATCAACTTTAAAACTTTTCAATAGTACCTACATATTTAACAATTTTAACAATAAGACCTTTAATTGTTTTATATTCGATTAAAAAAATAATGAATTAATTTTAAATAAATAATAAGTATTAGTTAAAAGTATTTGATACCTATTTTTGAGTAAGTAAAAAGATTCCAATATTCTTTATTTTAAATTTGAATAATTTTATAAAAAGTATATATTACTTAAATTTGTCTTCAATATTTTCTTAAACTTTTCTGAAATTAAGTCAAACCTTTTTAGTAATATTCTATAAATATTTTACAAATACTTTCATAATTTATTGATTCAAATAAATATCCTAGAAATATTTTACAAATACTTTCCTAATTTTTATATTAATATTTTATAGAATGTGCACACTCTACATGAATATATAAATTTATTCGTATATATTTCATATTTTTTTAATATTTTTTTGTTGTGGTGTGTAAAATAAAAACATAAATATAAATTAGAGATAAACAAATATATTTAGTACACTAGTTTTTCATTATAATTTTATGTATATATAGAAAACAACAACTTTATACCTACACAAAATTTATATACATTTTTTGTTCATTAATTTTTACACACTTATATTAAACTTTTATGTAAAAAATTTTGTTCGTGAATTTTTATACACTTACATAAAATTTTATATAGAGAAGTAATAAGTTATATACAAATCATAAATATTGATAAATAAACTAAAACTTAATATTTGAAAATAAAAGGGCCAAAAGACAAATAAAAAAAGATTTGCGTATAGGAACAGTGAAAACGCATGTATGCAGTTGGGAGGAGAGAGAAAGTGACCAAAACCCATTTTGCGTTTGCGTTTAGGAATTGGTTGGAGCAATTTTTGGTATTGCGCTTGGTTTTGGCGTTCGGTTGGAGTTGCTTTTATTGGGCATATTTTTTTTCTTTTTTTTTGAAGAAATTACCCTCCTCTCACATTTATTTTAGGGTAAAAAACTATTTCCTATATGAACTATCACGATTTTGGTGCATCACCATATGAACTATTTTTTTTACAAACCACCATCTAAATTGCACGGGCTTGTCAAATTGCCCCTTAAACCGGAAATAAAAGCAATTTTGACTAAAAAAGCTGATTTTAAGGGCATTTCGGGGACTTCATATTTTTCAGAAAAAAAAATAAAATGAAATACATTTGACCCCTCAAACCAGGGCTGGCATTTTTTGACCGAAAACCGAAAACCGAACCGAACCGAACCGATGTGCTAAAAA